ACTCAGCTGGTCCAGGCAGCAGCACTTAGAAGTCAAAGAGCAGCGAGCTAGCAGTTCTCATAAGTCAGTGTGTATTGCTACCATGAGAATCCTTGGTCTTTGTTGAAAAAAAATCCGTAAATACATTACTAATGTAACCACTAGTTGGTGTATTGCTTTATCAGAGCTTTCTTCAAGATTTATTACTTGCCAAGGCATTTAAAGATGCTTCACAAAAAAGGTGCAGTGGTTTAGCAGACAGCGGCAGAAGCTAATGACTAAAGACAAAGGGCAAAATAAATGAGAACCTATGGTTTTGGCTCAAAGACCTGCAGAATCATCACCTCATTACATTAAGTTCCATCCTAACTCTTTGAATTTTTAAAACACTATTAAAACCTGGAGAGAAGCAGGTTTCTACCATGTGATCTCAAGACCTACATGGTCATGTGAGGAGATGACTGTAGCAAAAAAGCTGATTTGGATGTGGCTTCCAGAAACTTGATAAATTAATGGAAGTCCTTAAAAAATAATGCTAATGATTAGCAGTCATAAAATAACTGATCTTGGAGTTACCTGGTTATTCCAGCTGATGCCGGGCAATATCATAGCAATAGCATTTTGTTCAAGGCAGTATTAAAAAAAAAAAAAAAATAAAAAAAAAAATTCAGAAGTTGAATATAGGCTTCTTTTATCATTGAAAGAATAACTTCCTTAGTAGGATGCTTTTAACTCATAAAAAGATAGGATCTGTTTCAACATTAAGGAATTTTGAGTACCAAAATGGTATAATTAAAGATATATTTTATTAGACTTTAGAGAAATTTCACTCCCATTATCTTTAAAAGATGCTCATTGCTGTCTTAAAGTATTATTAAATCCTGAGAGTCTGAGGCTATGGGGAAAGGCTTGCTGATGAGGGCTTGTTACAGGACCAACCACTGATAAATGACATAGTTCATTGAGGCTGCTGGGCTGATGTTCACAGCACAAAAACAACCTTCCCAGCTACTGTAATAGTAATGTGACAGAAACTGGTGATGAGTTGGCATGGACAATACAGTGCTTTCTCATGCTCAGATAATATCTCTAGCTCAGGAATGCTACCAGTCAAGTTGACCTATGGACAGGTTTCAGAATCAGTTCCTTTCCAGTCTTGTGCCTTCCTCAAGTCCTAAATATTCTCCTCGGTTGTGTTTCAAATTTTTATGGCAGTGGTTCCTAACATTGAGGTCATGGCCATAAAGTTTTCTTTGAAAACATTTTGTGAGGGTTTTCCATATAAAAGTTGATATAACCTTGGACAGCATAAAAATATGTAGGATTTCTATTTGCAAAGGGTAAGGAGCTGTGTGGTTATACCTGTTGTTCTGTGTAGAACTTACACTTTCAGAACATGAGCATTTTTTATAAAGTGGGTGATGTTTGAGGGGGGGCATTTTCAAATATAACATTCTAGCAAATTTACATATTATAAAGTACAAATATCTGGTTTTATCTATTCTTAACATTCATGACATTATTTTTTTCTAAGTGTTATAACCTAATGGCAATTTAGGGGGTGAAAGGTAAAGCAAACAATATCTTTACTTCAAGCTGCAAAGGATCCTGAGATGGAGCTTGCAGTATTTCAAAGGACTAAGACTCACTGAATTAACTGGTTGGTATGATACTTCTAGGTGATAAAGATTTCTGAAAATCTTTCTCTAAGACAATCTAGGACTTATACTGTGGAGTACACTTGAAAAATTACTTTTATTTAATCTCCTCTGGGAAGCAGAACAACAATCTTTATTTGCTCCCATTCACCGTCCATTTTGACCCATTTTTTGTTTGAAATTTATCTTTATTGAACTCAAGAATGTGAAATTAAATTGTTGACACAAAGTCAATAATTTATTCATGTTCCTCCACGATCTCCAACCACAGCAGGGTTTTTTTTATGATCCTTTCTTCCCAGAAATTACTTCATAAAGTCTATTTAGTTCATGCCTTCTGGTCAGATATGATGAGTTCAATAACAAATTCTGTCAGACTGTTCAAGGCTAACTGCCTCTTTTTGTCTGCACTGTCCTCTGATGGGTATTATCATGCTACTCATTACCCCAGGACAGCAAGGGAACACTTTGTAAGTGTGCTGTTGATAAACTGACTGAAAAGGGAGAGAAAGTACTGAGTAACTCTGATCTTAGATCATATCTATGACGTGCCACAACCCAGATGCCACGTGATATAAGAATCAGATTTCCAGCTTTCCACCTATTGAAAACCACCACATGTTGTGTATTTTATTGGATAAATGTATTTGCCCTTTTTATGTGTTTCTCATCAGACCATCTTAGCTTTATGAAGCTCCTCTGTTTATTTAGCAACCAGAGCTTGTGCTGTGAACTTTAATCACTGAACAGAAAATGGGCAGTGTTCCCAGTTACAAGAATTGCTAAAAGGAAACTGCTTCCTTTGAAAAATCTTGTTAGGCAACTGGGCCAGTGCTGCTGTGGTGTGCATCAGGCTCCTTGTGAAGTGCTTTTCTTCTTTTCATCCATTGATAATTCTCTACAAAGTTGTAGAAAACCTTTGTACTGTAAGAAATTTTTAATCTCACAGCTCCAGCTGAGTATTTCTTTCAGGAAAAGAAAATGTGTTTCTTTACCAAATTCAGTGCTTATTGGGAGAGGAAAAGTTTGTTCACCTGAACAAAGGTTTGGGATTCTAGCAATTCCTGAACTTTAGTCCCTGTGCTAAATAAGATTTTTCCTCTGATCTGAAAAAGGTCATTTAGCTTTTCTGACTCAGCGTCTCCTCTGTAATTAGTGAATGGGTAGAATCTGAAGCTTCGTGTGTAATACATGTTTCACAGGGATTGTTGGAAAAATATTACAAATCTATGATTTCTGTGGATTATTTTTGCTAACCTGATTTCTTAAGGCCAATGTGGAAGACAGCCAGCTGGGCAAGGCCCCCGTATAGCATTTTATGAGTAGAAAAAATCAGAAGTGTGTTCCATAAACTTCAGAACTGTGCAAGAGTTGACATACAGAGAGCTAGGATTGCCCTGAAGAAGTCATGGCAAACATTATATGCAAACTTTGTGCATCCAAATGTCCAGAATAGCAAGACAAGCCATCTGCTTGCTCTAAACTGCTTCTGTACTCTCTTTCTTACATTTTAAACAAACAAATTAAGAAGTTCTATCCAGAACGCTTTTGATATGGGAAGGATTCACAGTTACATAGTTGTTTTGCTACATTAATGTTAGTATCTACTTTGTAAAGCAGGTGCATGTTGAGTAATTATTGCTCAAATACTTTTCAAGTAGAAATTGATCTGGAATTTTTTTTAAATGTGCAGCAATGTCAATTTAATTTACAACAAACCTTTGTTCTTCAGCGTGGTCTTTTATGTCTGTTGTTGAGCAAAAGAAAAAAGAATATGCAGATAAGTAGAGATAGACAAAAGAAAAAAGAAGAATGAAAAATTTAAGAAGGAAAAATTACTGCTACAATACTATTATTTAATCAGCACCTCACATCTAGCATTAAAGGGATTTAAATAGTTAGGATTTGGGAGCTCTTTTTTTGAATAAAAAGTGGATACCACTGGGAAATTGCACAGAGTTTAACTGTGAGCACAACCTTTGCAGGAAGCTGTTATTTCATGTTGCTTTACAGATAAGGATATCGGCCAAGTGCAAGAGTTTGCCTAACAGCATCAGGCTGGCTCTCCTTTACAGATGCCAGGAAAGTAGGTTAGCAGGAAGTAGCCTTTGGCCTGACTCTGAAGCAGTGCCTGGATGTGTGTTTTGAACTGGAGAAAAACACTTTATCCACTATACCACCGCTCCCCTTCTCATGATATAAACACTTAATTGAAAGACGGTATTCTTCAGGCAACAGATGAGGATGATTAAAGACTGAGACTCTGTGTCATTACAAAAAGCCTTTTACTGTCTGTCTGCTAAAGCACCATGAGCATTTTCCACCTATGAGCAAGACGAGGTGATTCAGTTACTCATACTGAAACGATAATTTCCTCTCAAAGAGTTAGAGGAACTGGGTCGTTGTTGCCCATGCAGTTTTACAATTAACTAATTTTAAAACTTACTGTACAATTATCAGTTTTCTTAGATAATTAAGAGCAATTGAAGGATCAATTATTGAAAAAGTAATGTCAAAAAAGTTTGCTATTTCCTGAATCACTGAACACCAGTTTGTTGATGTAATAGTAATTTCTTTTCCTTGAATCCCAAGGCCCCTTTCCTTTCCTTTCTTTTCCTTTCCTTTCCTTTCCTTTCCTTTCCTTTCCTTTCCTTTCCTTTCCTTTCCTTTCCTTTCCTTTCCTTTCCTTTCCTTTCCTCTTCTTTTCTCTTCTTTTCTCTTCTTTTCTCTTCTTTCTTTTTTTTTAATTTAAAAGCTCTTTATTCCTTATCTTAACTTTTCCATTATACTTGGGCTCTATTTGCATTTTTTTGCTTAATATTAAGGGGTCATTCTTCTGTTGTTCTACCTCTTGAAGTTGTTTCTGTGGGCTAAGCTCGAGATTTCAAATTATCTTTTGAGAGTCACAAACCGGAGAGACCTGAAACAAGTGTAGCTGAAATAGTAGTTTCTTTCTTTCATGATCTATATGCTATTGTTGGAAAGTATCTCAGAAGTAGTCACATAGTCAAAAACAATTACTTTTTTTGGTCAAATGTCTAAATTTTTTAATAAGAAAAGTTACCTCTTAGTCTGAAAAGCTTTTTCTCTTTTGCTGTGGAGATTATAGGGCAAATCCTAGAATGAAAGAGACCTTTTGTTGTAATTTCTTTTTATTCCATGTAAAGATTTTATTTGAACTTGAAATGATAATATGGGAGTGTCTAAGTCATTAATTTCTAATTGTTTTGATGTGTCTTTCAAAAAAAACACCACAGGAATGTGCCGCCACCCCTCCGTTTTATTTTCTTGAAGCTCCACTAATCAGGAGGCCTGCCTTCCTAATGTCACTATTCACCCATGATATGTTTTTAATGTTAACAGGGAAGAACGTGCCTATGTTGAGAGATGCTGGAAAGATGTCCAAGTGGGGGATTTTGTGCAGCTGCAGTGTAACGAGACCATCCCAGCTGATATCCTCCTGCTGTACTCCTCTGATCAGAATGGGATCTGTCATTTGGAAACTGCCAACCTCGATGGGGAGACCAACCTTAAACAACGACAAGTCGTGACTGGGTTCTCCAGCCAGGTAAGTCTGCTGGAAATGCAGCCTATGCAGTGCAGGGTTGGTCTAGGCCCATTTGCACACCAGTTCCAGCCATGAAGTGCACCAGTTCTGATGGGCTGGTTGCGCTGATACAGCTAGGAAAGCGTTTTGCTGTTGGAGCTAATGCCCTGTACAGAAAGCAGGAGTTTGTCCCAAAAGATTTTTGTTATTCAGGCATAGGGTTGGCTCTATAACAAGGAAGATTATCTGACACAGTAGTTTGCAGTAAACTTGGTCAACAGATGCTTAAGCAACAACACATGGTACCACCATTCGAGACAGCAGCAACCCTTTCCTAAGTAAAAGCCATCCATATGCCACAGGCTGTCACGGCACACAGTGCATCCCACAGCAAAGTCACTGCTATGGAGTGAACTATTTCTGCATCGAAATTGGAAGACAGCTCATACCTCGCCTTCCAAAATGGCTGTGGGCTTCCGTATGGATTTTACTTCTCTGCTGCAGCTGAAGTACCATTGCTCATTTGCTAGGCAGGTAGATGTACGGCCGTTCAACTAGGAACTGCTCTAAGGCACACTAAGTTGTAATGAAATAATGGAATATTTTAAAAGAGTATAATAAGCAATTGAATAGGAACTCGAGGTAAATTAAAATGTGAAAAGTTAAATAAAACAGTTATGTTTTACATCAGTCTGATTGTTAGAAGAGATTCAGTTTGAATGTTTAAAATCACTATTTTTTTTCCATAGACAGTATCATTTCCCTTTTACAAACAGTTTACTGGCATAGCCTATGGACTTGTGTTTGATAAACCTGAAGTAAATAAGAAAATACGACTTAGGGAGAGTTGTACTTGTTACATTTTTTAGTGTCTTTTCAAACAAAGCCAGGCAGTTTTTCAAATAGCACAGAACAAGTTTAAGGAGTTGTAACATGTGAAGAAGAATATTTTTTTTTCCACTGGAATCACTCCACCAGACAGAAAATCCAAAAACCTGGCAGCTAATTCTAGGAATTACATCCATTTATTTAGCCATTAGTAGCAGTGTCATTAGGATGTTGCTTTGGGGTTATTGGAAGCGGGGACACAGCTGCCAGTAACCCGATTTATTAAATAAAAGTACCCCATTTCCATGGCCAGTTGTGGTCAGGTACTGCACTCTAGTGTTACTTGCTCTTTGTTCAAATGGAAATCACTTTGCAAATACAATTAAGGGATTTCTCAGGTTGTGGATGCCATAGTATGAAGCATAACTTTTCCAGTGCTTTCCAATGATCATTAGGCAGCAGTTTTTTTCCTGAGAAACACTGAAAATTTTTAATATAGAGAGATTTAGAAAAAAAACAATAAACTGGCTACTTAAATAGAAAAAAAATGCTGCATTTGTGTTACACAGTCATAGTTTACACATTAGGTTTTGTATTTTTGCTTTTAGAGGAAAACAGAGTGCTCTATCATACAAAATTCAAACTTTTGCCTCAGTCATTTATAATATAAGGAAGTCTTTCTTTAAATCAGGAAATCCCTGCATGCTGAATTATGCTTCAGACTGCCCATTCATGGTTATTTTCTTTAGATTTTGAGTTGTTATTTAGATAAACTGGACGCCCACAGGAGTTTATACTTATGAACCCTTGTTACATTGGCTGAGTGGACTGCAGTTCTGACCATGGTGGTAGCCAGTGCTCAAGAAAGGTCAGAACTTAAACAGTCATTTATATTACCCTGGTATTTTAACCTATTAGTGCAAACAGTATATTGACTAAAAAATCCCAGTGTGCTAAATGTCATATGCACAGGTTTTAGTGTGCTGGCTTCTTCCTTGTTCTTTGAGCTCTGTTTACTCCAGTGTTTTATGAGCTGCATAAAATTTACTCAGATTTAATTGCGTCTATAAAATGTAATTCTTGAAGGATGGAGGAAATGCATAAGAACTGGGGTTAGGTCTTTGGTTTAAGATACACTTAGGAACATTGAATGCACCTACCTGTAAAAAACTGAGAGGAAGAATTATTTTTTTCCTTTTATACCAAGATACACTTAGGAACATTGAATGCACCTACCTGTAAAAAACTGAGAGGAAGAATTATTTTTTTCCTTTTATACCATTTTCTAATTTGAATTTTCAAGTGTAGAATTCTTGTCATCAAAATAAAAAAAATATTTAGAGAAGAATCCTCCTTCTCTTACCCTTTTCTAGCTAGAAGACCACCAGTTTTCTTCATTAGTAATGAGCCCTCCAGGTGCTTTTTGCATTTTCCTGTTCCCCTGTTGTACAAATATTTCTAGCACAAACAAATATGTACTGATTTTTCTGTTGAGTTTACTGAGTTGAACAAGATCCAGCAGAGAGGAAAAGTATATCTTAAAATATATTCTAAAAATACTCAGCCATGTGGGTCAGAAGGTATACTAAATGCCCTTACATTCATCAGGCTTTTATATTTCCTCCATATTTTTTTTTAGATCAGATTCTCCACTTGCTTATACTTAGATATTATATATATTTTTTTTTAAAAAAAGAATACATGTATTGCTCAGGAAAGAAAAAAAAAGGAACAGGAGCAAGAAAATAATGTAAAAATTAGAGCATAGTGAAGAAAAAATTGAGACTTGAGGACTGGGAGTGTAAGGAAGTCCTCTTGCACTCTGACAAAGTTTTTCTCAATTCTAATGAAGGATTCATAGGATTTGAAGTTTCTGAATGAGTCTAATCTCTAGAAGTCTCTCTTGTTGTAGAAAAAGGTGGGAGAAATAAAGCAAAATTCTGTGTCTCAGTTTAGCTCCAACCTCTTTTTGAATGAGCAATTAGCCTGAAATCTCTGTCTTGTTTTGTCTCTGCCAGCAGTTTGGACTTATTCTTGGACTTATTCTACTGCCTTCTCTCTTTTGGTTTTGATTGATTGATTGGGTATTTTGTTTGTTCTTTTGGGGGGGTTGTTGGTTTTTTGGGGGGTTTTTTGCTATTAGTCTTGCTTTTAGTCTTATTTCAATGTGATACGTTTATTCAAATGTGTGGGCTCTTCTTTTACAGTTATACCATACCACTCAAAAACAGTCTTCTACCATGTTTCAAAATCCTGATAAATCCTGAAATTATTATCATTTGAACTTGCTTTTGATTGAAGGCTGGGTTTTCTTCATAAATAATTTGAAATGTTTGTTACATTTGCTTTCAATGAAGACAGATGTTTTCATTAACTGGCATCTGTGATGTCTTGTCCAATATACAGCATTCTCTTCATTTAATTTAACTAGTTGTTATTCTAAGAGTGGAAAATATCAGATCTTTATTCAGCTTCTCTGAAGCTTTGCTTCGGGCTGAACAAGCTAAACTGCCTCTGTCTCTCCTCGTAGGGCAATTTCACCAGCCACCAACTATGCTGGTGGCCTATATTTAGCTGCTCTTAATGTTTAGCATTTCAAGTACTCATTGGATTTGACACTCATTCTCAGTGTGTTTCCTCTTGCAGAATACTTTGTTTGAACCTGAATTTTTCCAAAACACCATCATCTGTGAAATGCCTAATAATGATCTCAATAAATTCAAAGGGTACATGTAAGTATTTGTTAGCCATAAATGCATTTCTGTATCTGAACTTTAATATTTCTCTTGGAGGAACTGGAGGAAGGAAGGTATTTTGCAGAAATTGATGAACATCACTATTATCTGTTCCTGGATTCAGAAGTCAATATAAAATGTAGACTGGAATCTGTGTTTTGAGGCAAGACAGGACCATTGACATTGAATGTGCGGTTGTTTCCTACAAAATATTCTCACAAAACTTTTCAGAATTCAGACATAATGTCATTTACTTTTGACCTGAGGGTTAGGCTAAGCTAGATTTAAAAGCCAAATCCATACTAATGTTGAAAGATATTCAGCTGCGTGGCTCTAGTTTCTTCATATTTACAGTCATAGGCAAAAGGTACCCAGGATCCAAGAAAGAAATCAGATTTTCTTCTTACGCCTACAAAAAGCAAGCAAGCAAGAA